GGAGCCCCAGTGGATGGGGGCCGGGTAAGGGGGAGCCCCAGTGGATGGGAGCTGGGTAAGGGGGAGGAGAGGGAGACGCCCAGGCAAGAGTGAGAAGGTGAGGAATCCCGAAAAGTGAGCAGGCTCTTCAGCCCCCAGCACAGTTTGGGGCACCCAGTGCAGCCTTGGCATTTGTCGTTTGCAGAAGTGAAGGACACATGGTGGGAGCCTGGGGGCGGGGCTCAAAGACTCTGGCGAGCCCAGCAGGCAGCAGTAACGCCCAGTGGTGGGCGCTGTCCACGGGCCTGTGTTCCGTTTTTCACGCGCCCCCCTCCACCCCCCAAGCTCAACTCATCCTCACGGTGTGCTGGCTTTGAGAGTGTCCAGCTCCAGGGCTGCCTTGTCTTGAGAGGCAGGGTCAAACCTACCTTCTCTTTCTCTAGATCAGTGGTTCTCAACCTGTGGGTCGCGACCCCTTTGGGGGTCGAATGACCCTTTCACAGGGGTCGCCTAAGACCATCAGAAAACACATATATAATTACATATTGTTTTTGTGATTAATCACTATGCTTTAATTATGTTCAATTTGTAACAATGAAAATACATCCTGCATATCAATTATTTACATGACGATTCATAACAGTAGCAAAATTACAGTTATGAAGGAGCAACGAAAATAATTTTATGGTTGGGGGTCACCACAACATGAGGAACTGTATTGAAGGGTCGCGGCATTAGGAAGGTTGAGAACCACTGCTCTAGATGCTTTCAAACTCCAAACATGTAAGATGCAAGACTGTTTTCCTCCGGCTGTTTCTCCCAAAGCGTCTGAGATTTGCGCTCCCAACCTCCTCTCCAAGGTAAAGGATTGTCCTCTCTCTCCTACCAGTCATCACAGGCATCGAGGGCAGGGGCTGGGTTCTGAGAAGCCACCTGCACGGTGTCAGCACATCTGTATAAAATGGATGAGTGAGTGAGAGAGCACATGAATGAAATGAATGTCCTGAGAGTTCTGCAGGCAGGTTTTCACGTGCTCTCTCTCCCCTGAGAACGGAACAAACTGAAACATGAACACACGACCTCGCCATATATTTTGTATGAAGTTTGGGTTGTTTCGAGGCACAGCAAGCGGGACATTGGAGGGGCTATGTCATTAAAGCCATTTCTGCGCACAGAGGCAGTGTAGCAAGGAGGGGCTGGTACTGGAGTTAAGAATCCTCCCGTTTGTGGTCAGGACCTCGGAGAGCTCAATTTGGGTTCCCATCGGACAAAGCTAATTTACCCGGTCACAGTTTCCCACTAATTCACTCATGTGGGCATTCATTTGGTAAAGATGTGTCCAGTGCTTGGGCGATGCCGGGCGTTGTATTAAGACAAAAACGGATCGGGGGAGGGGAGGTGGGCCTTGAGGGTTTACAGCCTTGGAGAGTATGTTTATATCACATCCTGGGTGTTTATCATGAGGTTTGATTTTATACTTTGGTATATTTTTCCCATAAGCCCCCACGGTCTCTAGTTTGAATTAACTCTCCCCTATGTCCCCCCGCCCCCACTCTGTGTAGGTCTGTGTGGGGGCGGGGTGAGGTGGAATGATTGTTTTAGAAGCAATCCCAGCATGCTTTCTGGCCACCACACTTGTGTGCAGTGTCCTCTGACCTGTGGCTGAGCTAGAGATTGTGATAACAGGTGAATCGTAAACAAGGCCCTAAGCGTGGACTGGGCCAGTGTGAGCCGCTGAGCCTGGAGCTACTGCGTTCTCAGCCGGATCTTCCTGGGAGGGATGTGCCCTCCCTGAAGATCCCCATCAGTGAGGGAAGAACTGAGTTGTCTTACCTTTCCAAATGCTGCCTCGTTGGCCATTTTGTTAACTTAATGGAAGAATCCGAGAGTTACACCACACTTGGATAATTATTATTTGTGCGTGTCTTTCTGGACATTAATCACAGGATTTCCAGTGCAGCCAGTCTCTTCTGACACGCAAATCATCCCCCTTCCCAGTTTCATTCACAGAAGCAGACTATCCACAGCAGTGAGGACCTCAGAGACCATGTAACCCAGCCCTCTCCTGTATTAGATGCCAGCACTGAGGTCCTGGGGGGACTTGCCTGAGCCCCAGGCAGGTGATGGAAGAGCTGGGCTGGAATCAGCTCCCTGATGCCCTGTAGAAGCACCACCAGCCCCCATGTATGAGCACCTACTATGTGGCAGGCACTGTGCTAGGCTCTTTACAAACCTTTAAGGTCATTCAGCAAGTTGCCCAGTCAGGTCTTTGTGATTTCAACACCCTCTCCCTTAATCCCTCCAATTATTAGCTATTATCCTAAGATCCCTGCAGTGTTCAAGGCTTGATTCCAGGCACCGTGGGAAACAGGATGCTTGTCTTCAGACTAGTTGGCCAGGATGCTGCTTCTCGTCCCTTGCTGCTCTGGGTGGCACAGCCCTCAAGCACCTTGCACTGTCTGGCCTGTGTCCACCCTTGCAGTGAGCAGAGAACACTTGGGGCAGAGTCCCTGGGATGGCAAAGCCTTGTAAGGGGTGAGACTGGCCCAGTGACTGACACTCTGTGCCTCCTGCTTGCAGGTCAGATCTGGTGACATCCATTTCCTTGCCCTGTCTCCCACCGCACCGCACCGGGATCTCAGTGCAAACACTTGCCCTGATGCTGTGCATTCATTCATGCCCTGACTGCTTCTGCCCCGGATGCCCATAGCTCCTGCCCAGGAGGGAGGGCAGGAGGACTTGCACCCCAGTCCCTCCCTCCATCTGCCTGGAGTGGCATCTGTGCCCATATCTGCCTCTGGGCTGGGCCCAGACTTCAGGGGCCTCTGGGCCCTGAAATCAGTGCATTCTACACTTGCCATCATCAAGGGGAGGGGGTCCCACAGGTGGCTGTGCTCCTTTCCGTGGAACCCCATACAACAGACAGGCAAACCAGGGTTGAGCTGGTAAATGTTTAACAACCAGCTCTCTGGGGAGAAAAAGCCTTGATTTGTAGCATTCACTCACATCTGTGCTATAAATACTCCTGCCACCGCTGATCTCAAGCGATCAATATGATGTCACTGAACAGAGCTGGAAAGAGATGCGCAGCAACACGGCAGCACACGAAGTCCCACCGTACAGATGCAATTACCCCAAGGACACAGACAGTAGTGAAGTGTATCAAATAATTAGGAAGTGATGAGTTTTGAGTATTTATTACCATTATTTTCAATATAATTTCTTTAACTGTAACTTTAATTTAATTTTTAATGCTGGCCCACTTAACAACAGGTTTGCAAAAATCCCAAAAATTTAGCTATTGGCTCTCTTGAGCCAGTATGAGCCGATATACACTGCCCCAGCCCACCCCTGTCTGCTCCTGCCAACTCCTTCGGGCCGAGATCTCCCCTCCCAGGGTGAGAGAGGTGCAGCCCAGGTGAGGGGAAGGGCGGGCAGATTTGGCAGCTGCGTTTCCGAAGCGCCTTCCATTTCCGCCCAGGCTCTGGCTCTGGCTCTGGAGGCGCAGGCCCGCGGACAGACCGGTGCATCCTGGGGCACGAAACAGAGGCTCTCTGCTCCGGAGGACGCAGGTGTGTCCAGACAGGCAACCGATGCCTCTCGCACCTTCCTGAAAACAGGGGTCACGGGCCCTGGAGAGAGACCTGGGCTCTGTGACAGGGACCCTGGGCTGCAGAAGAATCATCAGCCCCTAAAAATGTGCCTCCATTTGTCAGTTCAATTCAACAAATATTTACAGGGTGCTATCTACTGAGTGCCAGGCATGCCAGGGATGAAGATGTGAGTAGAACGCAGCCCCTCTGCCCACGGAGCTTACAGTTCAGCGCGGAAGAACATGCTAAGGGCCCAGGTAACTACCATCAGCAGAATGCGGACTGGCCGTACGAGAGGCACAAAAAGCAGACAGTTCCCCGGAGGAGCCAGGCCTGGTTCCTGGGCGGGTCAGAAGAGGCTCTAGGACAGCGGTTCTCAACCTGTGGGTCGCGACCCCTTTGGCGGTCGAACGACCCTTTCACAGGGGTCGCCTAAGACCATCCTGCATATCAGATATTTATTTACATTACGATTCATAACAGTAGCAACATTACAGTTATGAAGTAGCAACGAAAATAATTTTATGGTTGGGTCACAACATGAGGAACTGTATTTAAAGGGCCAGAGGTTGAGAACCACTGCTCTAGGAGAAGAGCTATGGGAAATGCTCCTTGAGGGATGGGTGAGAGCACATGTGGGCAGAGGAGGAGAGCAGGGTCTTTGGGCGGAGGGGTGGCTGGTGGAACTCCGGGGTGGGGGTGCCGGCAGGATACGCGTCCACAGCAGCAAGGGGCCTGTCTGGCTGGAGTGGAAACGCTGGGGCGTGAAAGGGGACGATGAGACTGGAAAGACCTTCTGCAGAGGCTCACGTCAAGCAGGGCCTTGAGCGCCTGGTCGGGTTTGCTCTTAATTTCATAGGCAGTGGGGAGCCGGGAAGGCTTTGCTCAGGGGAGGGACCTGCAGGAAGTGCCATGGAGAAGAGGGCGCATGTGGAAGGAGGACACACTAATAGTAACAAGTTAATTAGTTAATAGGGCTGCTCAGGGGATCCCGATGGCTTGTGGTAATTAATTTCCATGTTAGCTACAGGGCCAACCTGGGGTACGAAGAGGCAGGGAGGGGCTGCTCCCTGTCCCCCAGTAACCACCGTGGACTGGAGGATGCGCGTGTGATCGTTGCCCGGGGGCCAGCCGAGCACTTGTGTGGTGTGCAGGGGGGTGAGGCACACGGGAGCGCGGAAGGGGCCCCTCTTAATTTCATAGGCAGTGGGGAGCCGGGAAGGCTTTGCTCAGGGGAGGGACCTGCAGGAAGTGCCATGGAGAAGAGGGCGCATGTGGAAGGAGGACACACTAATAGTAACAAGTTAATTAGTTAACAGGGCTGCTCAGGGGATCCCGATGGCTCGTGGTAATTAATTTCCATGTTAGCTACGGGGCCAACCTGGGGTATGAAGAGGCAGGGAGGGGCTGCTCCCTGTCCCCCAGTAACCACCGTGGACTGGAGGATGCGCGTGTGATCGTTGCCCGGGGGCCAGCCGAGCACTTGTGTGGTGTGCAGGGGGGTGAGGCACACGGGAGCGCGGAAGGGGCCCAGGAGGGGGTGTGGTGGCACCGCAGGGGCTGTTGGATGCCCGGGCATGAGACCTGCCATTCCCCTGTTCCTCTCCACATCCACCTGCTACACGACCAACAACACGGGCCTTCAAAGGCTCTCCACCTGGACTGCGCGGGTCACGCTCAAGGCACACACATGCGCACACACAGACACAGGCCTAGGCAGCCCCGGCGTGCCCGCTGAGTGGAGCTAAATGAGCACATTTGCACGTGTGCACGCACACATGCCCCTCCCAGAGCAAGTTCTGAATAACCACCGTGGACTGGAGGATGCGCGTGTGATCGTTGTCCGGGGGCCGGCCGAGCACTCGTGTGGTGTGCAGGGGGGTGAGGCACACGGGAGCACGGAAGGGGCCGAGGAGGGGGTGTGGTGGCACCGCAGGGGCTGTTGGATGCCCGAGCATGAGACCTGCCATTCCCCTGTTCCTCTCCACATCCACCTGCTACACGACCAACAACACGGGCCTTCGAAGGCTCTCCACCTGGACTGCACGGGTCATGCTCAAGGCACACACATGCTCACACACAGAGACACAGGCCTAGGCAGCCCCGGCGTGCCCGCTGAGTGGAACTAAATGAGCACATTTGCACGTGTGCACGCACACATGCCCCTCCCAGAATCCGGGCAGAACCTCGCTGCAGAGGAGAGGGCTTCTGTTCCATTGGCATGCAAATGCCTTGGCATTCAGAGAAGGTGGAGAAGCGGAGCAGAGGGGGAGTGCGCAGGGAGCTGGGGGTGGCGGAGAGAAGAATCACAGAACACGTCACATTTCTATAGCTACCTTCTTTAGAGGAGCGCAAAGGCCACTGTGGGTGGCACGCTTTGTGGCGGAGCCAAGCCCCTTGGGAAACCGCATTCCGGGACACGGTGCCCCGGGTTTCTGGACTTCTGCCACCGCCAGAGAACAGTTATTGAAACCTTGTCATATGTCAGGGGCTGTGTAGGTGCTGGGGGTAAAGGAGAACGCAGGTTAGCAGAGGAAATGAACTAGCATGGGTCTGTGGGCGTGAAGGATCATCCTCCTGTGAAGCAGAGATGTTGGTAGAGGGTGTGTGGTCAGGGAAGGTGGCAGAGGGCCCTGGCCCAGTGAGTGAGGAGGAAGTGCCCTGAGGGGCGGGAGGAGAGAGGCTTGGAGGCTTGGAGAGCAGGTGGGGCCCCAGGGATGCGAGTAACATTCCTGGGCACAGGGCCCCCGTGGGGAAGGGGTACGAGCGGTGGGCCCCGTGACCTGCGGCGCGTTGGAGAAAGATCGCTCTGGCATCCGTGTGGACGTCGGGCTGGAAGGGATGAAACTTGGCCTAGGACAGTGATGGCGAACCTATAACACGCGAGTCAAAGGTGACACGTGAACTCATTTTTTGGTTGATTTTTCTTTGTTAAATGGCATTTAAATATATAAACTAGCCCTAACCGATTGTCTCAGTGGATAGGGCGTCGGCCTTCAGACTGAAGGGTCCCAGGTTCGATTCCGGTCAAGGCTATGTACCTTGGTTGCGGGCACATACCCAGTGGGGAGTGTGCAGGAGGCAGCTGATCGATGTTTCTCTCTCACCGATGTTTCTAACTCTCTATCCCTCTCCCTTCCTCTCTGTAAAAAAAACAAACAAACAAAAAAACACCCAATAAATATATAAAATAAATATCAAAAATATAAGTCTTTGTTTTACTATGGTTGCAAATATCAAAAAAATTTCTATATGTAACACAGCACCAGAGTTAAGTTAGGGTTTTTCAAAATGCTGACACGCC